AGCTTGTGTTGGATGGGTTACACGGCCCCAAATGATCAGCTTTTGTTAGATGGGTTACACGGCCCCAAATGATCAGCTTTTGTTGGATGGGTTACATGGGCCCAAATGATCAGCTTTTGTTGGATGGGTTACACGGCCCCAAATGATCAGCTTTAGTTGGATGGGTTACGGCAATAAATAAAGAAAACGATAGCTGTGTTTGCTTGTCATCCATACCACACACTCAGTGTAAACAGCCAATCAATGTGAAATTTGAATAAAAGTTGTATAACATTCTTTCTGAAATTTCAAGTTTAACGATAGGGAGGACCCGTCCAATCCCTGCTTCTAGGGAAAGAAGGACGTAACACTGAAGATGAAGATGATGAACGATACCATATGACAATATAGTCATAAGATTTTCTTGCAAATATCTTATTAATACATCAGAGGGTTACCAGACTTTGTCAATTACTTCAAGCAAACCAGGAGAGATGCCAGCCTGTCTCTGTGGGTTTTTTTTTCAAATACAATCAACTTTTTCCAAAATCCCTGAACAGACTTTCCTCAAACATGCCAACATTTCCTGCTGGTCAGATCTTCCAAAATATCTCCTTTTCCTTAGAGGATTGCTATTCCCAAACCAACTTTCCAAACTGTAAAGTATTTAATGCAGGTGCATCTCCATGCTGACTAAGAATCCATTTTCAATATGTTTCTCACCTTGGGGTGTTGGTCCAGTAATGGTGGTGCAGGAATCGCACACCGCATCCACTAGATCAAGAATTGAAGTCTTCTGTCGACAGATGATCTCTGTCGATGGGCATTGCACCGTTCCGTGGTAACCTGGGATCTAAAAGTAAAACCAAGAAAATGACACCATGAAAGTGAAGTTTAAGTCCTGCAACATGCAAACATCAAAGACTATGTTCAATTGCAACATTCAACTCCAGACTACATGGCAAATTTTCAGTAATTTGACCTGACTTCTGAGGTTTATTTGTTTGTTTTTGTAGGAGTAACTAAAAATGAAGGTCCTCCTAAAAAGAAAGTTACAGACCAGCGGGATAAAGCCTTGTTCTGATACAGGTCGTCATTCATTAATTCTGTATCACTGCATTATTTTCATACGCACAGTTTAGTTTGAACCATCTACAATGAGCAGAGACTGCTCTGCTGGCATGGTTTTGCTTGTAAGCTCTCCGGAAGGTGGATTTCTATTTTGTTTCTGCTTCTGGTTAATGTCACCACTCACAGTGATGGTCGTGTTGTCAGGACAAGATAACCAGTCTGCCTCGCCTACTTTGACCTCATATGACCTGGAGTCATTGTTACACCGTGTAAGGTAGCAAACACCTTGGAAATCACACGGATCCACCCTGCTCTGAAAGAGACAAAAAGTCAACACAAATTTACAGGTTAATGAGCATTTTGGCTGACAGCTGTTCCAAAACACAAAAACACAACATCAAATGCTATATTAAATAATGAAAACGCTCAAGCTGTATCAACCACAGAAACACTGTATTTGACACTAACAACACCGTATTGATCACTGAAAACACCGCATTAAACACCATATTAAACACTCAAAAACACCATATTAAACACCAAAAACACTGTATTAAACACTCAAAAACACCGTATTAAACACTGAAAACATTGATTAAATCTGACATCATCACTTTCACAAATGAGTGCAAACAAAATGTAACAGACATTCGTCCCATACTGACATTTGTGGCTCTAACGATTAGTGCCAAAACAGAAGAAATAAACAGGAGGATTTCACTCACCAATATGTACATATCCTGCATCCTAACTTTATTCAATGTAATAGAAAACACTGTTATTTTTCGGTTTGGCCTTTAGTATACCACCTTTTGCTGTTACTTTGCCCAGTCGCACATTGCTTATTCAACTTACATGTATGTATTCTTTGTTATTTCACACAAGTCAGCCACATGCAAAATGCAAACCCTGGGGTCTTCCGTTCAACCAACACTTAACATTCAAAAACTGATCACAGCCTCTACGTGACCACGTACCTCAATGCTGATTGCACTACTGACAAAGCATCTGCTGTCTTCATGAAAAACTTCACCACGGACCGAAGGAGATCCATCACTTGCCACTGAACAGTAATCCTACCACAAAAGAAAGTGGAGGGGGCGGGAAATGAAAGAATGCTCATTGTGGGAAAATTCAAAAGCAAGCAACACCATTTCATTTGTGGAGAGTGCTTTTTATCCATTTCTTCAGGTTGACTTGGGTTATTTTAACAATTTTCTCCGAAAGTCCAAACTCAATTTTAAAAGCTGTGGGAGAACCCGATAGAGTCATTCTGGGGAGAAAAAGCAAAGACAAGGGAAAAAAACACACAGTTCCAATAAACAAAAACTCTGCACATCTGTTCCAGTGGAAGAGAAATGTCAGAAGTACAAAGCACCGATAGTAGAGTATATGTCTATGACTACGCCAACCAGAATCATACACCTGGCAATCGTATGCTAATGATTTTCCACATTCTCTGGAAATCTGTCTTCGGCCAGCATTTATTCCACAAAAGATTTAATCCACTCTTAAAGGTACATGTTAATAAGAGTCTAGTTACAATAGCATGAACACGTATGCATGCATTCCTTCACATAACTTCATCACATGGGTGTTGACATGAACTTCAAATGGCTGTAACAACAAAATCATAAATCAGATTGAATTGCTAGATTCAGACTACAATTTTGAGACATTTATAAACTCCTCAAAAAAAGTTCAGGACCACTTTTGATTTTGTGTATACTTTTTATAATATGAGATATTTTAATGCTGAAAACGTGAATTTGATGTTTTGTTATAATTTTTAAATTTTTTATTCCAATGAGAACACCATCTAGACAAACAAAAAATGAAAGAACTAGACCCCACTCATTGCTTGGAAAAAAAGTCACAAGTTAAGAAAAATGAGGTCCCTTAACTTTGTTTGAGTAGTGTACAATGCATGTCACTGACTGCCTATAATCCACATTAATTTGGATACTTCCAGAGCATCGTGATATGGGACAGGAACACAATATCACAGAAACCAAACGCAACGCATCGAATAAACATAAACTCATTTTGCCATTTCAATGTAACATACCTGAATATTACCCTTCATGACCCTGCACTCCTCCAAGTAATCATTGCTGGAGCACGTTGCCTTATCCCTATGAAGATAGTGACAACCCAAGGAGCTGCACAACAAAGCAGATGGAAAATCCTTTCACTTGTAATCAGTCATCTTTGAATGCGTTCAGAAAAACCCAAAGGATGTGCTCTTCCCACTTCAAATTACCACCAACATATAGACCTCATTGCGTGTGTTGGTTTGATTCATGAACAGAAGTAAACTGTCACGCTATGCTGAAATCGAATGGCTATGGCTGGATACGGTTGGTAATGGGCACATACAGTGTATGAAAGCCACTTCACACTATAGCTACTTCTGTAACTGACTGATTTAGACAGGGCCTTCCATTAAGCAAGGATGTGCGCACCTGCCATTGCAGAAGAACGTGTCTGCTGCTGTCTGGCACCTAGACTCCCTCCCGAACTCGCAGCCTTGGTTTCTGCCCCAAGGCATCTCCTCCGCATACTCGTAATTCACTCGGTACCAGCCTGAATCTTCAAACACTGCCAGGGTCAAGTTATCTAGGAACGTCTGATGGGGCTAATGCAGTCAGGATAACAATGATAGGAAATATCAGAATATTCTGACTAGATATTAATAACGTGCGTGCATTTTTCATATCAGGCAATTCAAACGGAAAATTTCTGTGTTGAATGGTAACTTTCTGTGTTGAATGGTTCCACGACATGGACCCCTGGTTATCAGTCCTTTCGTTGCCATGGTATCCACTCGGTTTGCCTCACCTGGTCTATGATGGGAGCCATGATGGATCCATACATCATTCTGGTCTCCCAGTGGGACGAGATGCCATCATCTGCCTGCTGCATGAAGAGAGACATGAAAAGATCCAAGATTCGTTGGAATTCAAAGTGAGCCCATAAATGTTTTTGAAGTCCATCTCATTAAATTATGGTCATACTTTGTCAATAACCAGAGAAGCATGCTTTCGTCTTCACAAAACATATCTAGATTTTGGGGGTTTTTTCGGGGAGGGGGGGGCAATTTGAAGATGAGATTACTGACCAAATACAAAGTTGTACCTGATTCTCAAGTGGACCACCGAATCCAGACTCGGGACAATCAAAGTGCTTCTGAGCGTGTGCAGTGACAGCAGGAGTGATAAGACGAGATGTGCCTTGGGAGTCTGTACCAGTGGTTGTACACCGATCGATACAATTCAGACCATTGGCTGGAATTTTGGAAATAAAAGAAAGCTAGATTGCAAGTTACTGGGCATTCAGTGGAAACATCAACTTTAACCAACAAACTGACACCAAAGTGAACAAACTGACATCAGAGTGAGCAAATTAATTCAAATAAAATCTGGAACACTGAGTTATCTGATTGCACATAAACATAATTTGAATTCCCCAGACTAAAGACACTGTTGCTATACCTTGTGATTTAGGGCAAGCTTTTGCATAGCGACCACCATCTCTGGAACGGACTAGTTCCTTTGTGCCCTTCTTATCCATTTAAAAATGTGTATTCAGGTAAGGCGTCTTTTATGTAAACTCAGCAAATCCAATTCTTTTTATCCAGTCCTTTCTCCTACACCTTAGGAATGGTGGCAAGTACTCTTCACGTGTGCAACCCTTCTCCTCTCTGACACATATTTGAGAAACTGAACTAGCTTATTCTGTTGCTACATGTACATAGCATCCTCCTAAACTGAGGCACCTGTCTCTTACCAGATTCAGAGCACTCCTTGAATTTGTTGAACAAAGAGGAGGAGAAGCCCAAGACGTGGAAGATTTCGTGGACAGCAAGCTGTAAATGCAACCGCAGACGTAAGAAAAAGCCACCAAAAATGTGACAGAAATTGGAAAGATCAGCCCTATTCCTGAGAGTTGCCAAGTACCACGTATGAGAAAAAGGCAAAATATCTATGTAGATTATTAGCCATTTACATTTTTGACAGGATTTCCCTTCATTTCTTGTACTTCACATTTATTGAGCTTTGAAGCTTTTTCATGGTGAAGGTAGCAAGTTACAATGTAGTTGTAGAGGTTTGTGGCAGCACCATATAAGGACATCTCTTTTAGTGTGTAATTCAGAAAAGATCAGGGTACTCAACGTTTTGGACGGTATGCTTTGCCCGTCATCAGAAGACTGAATGAGGGACAGAGCATACTGTCCAAAATGTTGAGTACCCTTCGTTTCATAACTACACATACTCATGAAAGAGATATCCTTAAAAATGATTTCCATGCATGTTGGTTTAAATGAAACCAGGAGTTTTTCAGAAAAGCATGAGTACAATCTGGAGGCAGAGGTCAATGAAAAGTGTTGCGTACCATGATGTAAAAAAGCCAGATAAGTGCTCTGGAAAACACAATGAAATCATGGACAGAAAAAACTATCCCAATGTTAGATTTGAACCTGGGTTACAGAGTTGGACGTCTTACTGTTCAAACCTTCCCACCCTGAAACTAAGGCAAATGGGGTTAAGCTGTAACAGTGAAGGTACATGTACAACTGCATGTATGTGTTTTTTAATACATATTCAGTCAAGCACAAAGCAGCGAGGTCAACAGCGCACGACTTGAAGCTGGCTAAACTTGCTGGGGATGTTATGAAGATGCAAGTACACTAAATCTCAACTTTTGTACCATGAAAAGTTTCTGTCTTTTGATGACACCAGCTTCAAACTTTTCCCTTCCCAGATTCTGGTCGTCCTAAATACTATATCGGCAATGTCACCAACAAAAAGAGGCATTACTAAAAAAGTGCTGCACATTAATAACTGACTTTCAAATCACGAGACTCACCAGAATAAATTTTTGCTCGTCATACAAATCATCTTTCAGATGTTCGGGGCAGAAGTTGACAACTCCGGCGATAGGCCGGTTATTCTGATCCAGCTTGCAGTAGGATGCATAGGCCACAACTTGCTGTGTTGGAAGACATTGGGAATGGCATAGTTTTAATAGAGAGTCAAATTGCTTTTAAATCACTAGAACAGTGTAACAAAATCACTTTCATCACTAGTGTCATGAGGAGAACATCAACTATAAATGAACAATGTTTCTACACTTCCCACCGACACAAAGAGAATTATCAAAGACAAAACTTATGTCTTCAGCACACAAAATATGAAAATCACGCCGCTCGCTAATGGAACAGTCCCCAGAATCTGCTAAGTTCCTTACCCCTGAGGAGCACTGACTTGTGTGTGTTGCCTTGACGTAGAGCACCGTGTCGGTGTCGGGCAGCCCTGGCCCGTCAGGGTAGACCTGGTGAACTGGCTGCGGATAAGTGGAGTTCCAGGTCCACAAGCCCTGCAGATGCTCGTCGGGTATCTGAAGGGATTCAGGTGCAACGGAATGCATCGTGAGGTTGTTAAACACAGTGGGGAATGAGGCAGTCAGGTTGGCATATACATGTACGTCATTCTATAAACTTGGGGTTCTATGTGTGATATTTTCTGTCCGTTTCACCTGACCAGTGTAATTTGACAAGAATTGTATAATTTAAATTTATTTCAAGCTATTATAATTTGTTTAGTAATTAATTTTCATTAGTTAATCACACTTGGAAATTAAAGAATGTTCTAATTAGAAAATCATATGCCAGATAAAACGGACAGGAAAAACTAGAACTGCAAATTTCTAGAATGACCCATGTGTAATAGCGGACCTTCCAAACCTTTGCTCTGATACACCTGATTCCTCCAAATTGGGAATACAAATGTTCACAGCATTCTGTGAGGGTAGGGTGTAAAGTGATTTGGAAAGTTCTGAAAAGAACCCAAGGAAAAACAGACTGCTCTGCCCACTTCCGAACCTCCCACTTTTTATTCCCCACGTCCATACCCCTAACAGTCCTCAATCCTTCACCTGTTGGAGGACCGTTAGGGTTAACGCTAACAGTCCTCAATCCTTCACCTGTTGGAGGACGGAGGACTGTTAGGGTTAACGCTAACAGTCCTCAATGCTTCACCTGTTGGAGAACTGAGGACTGTTAGGGTTAACGCTAACAGTCCTCAATCCTTCACCTGTTGGAGGACGGAGGACTGTTAGGGTTAACGCTAACAGTCCTCAATCCTTCACCTGTTGGAGAACTGAGGACTGTTAGGGTTAACGCTAACAGTCCTCAATCCTTCACCTGTTGGAGGACGGAGGACTGTTAGGGTTAACGCTAAACAGTCCTCAATCCTTCACCTGTTGGAGGATGGAGGACTGTTAGGGTTAACGCTAACAGTCCTCAATCCTTCACCTGTTGGAGGATTGAGGACTGTTAGGGATACACTACCAGATGGTAGGTCAGGTTGAATAAACTTCAGTGTACTGAACTACACGTACATGTATTTAGTCAGGCTGTACCGAATATCTGAATATTCAATCGATTATCGAATATTCAAATATTACTTTCCAAATTTGAATATTCGAACACAAAATTCACGAAGAGGAAGGGAGAATTTTCTTTTGTTTTAAATTAGAAAAACTGCACTATGGAGGCTTGTTTCAAGCAGATTCAAATGAGAAGCGACAGAAATCTTACAACGATTCAAAGAGTAAATTATTCATTACAAATTCTTCTCTTAAATCATGCTAAATCATGGCTGCATGGAGATACTCGTAGACTTGAAAAGCTATTAAAGTGATTATAATGTACAATTGTGTGCATTATTGCAACTGATTTTGTATATGATTTGTTCATCAACAATCTGCTAGTAGGTATGACTGAATATTCAGATATTTGATCGAATTGAATGTCAAATATTTGAATAGTGAATTATTCAAATTGATTCAGTCCTTGTATTTAGCTGATAGGGGTTTCCCCCACATCTTCAACTGTCATACCCTCCAATGTCTTCTCTCACATGATTTCTGTCTTTGTCAGTGGAAGGAGAACAGCCATACCTGGAGCCAACAATGTCTGTCTGACATTGACCCCAAAATATGCAAATCTGCGTGATAGTACACTGTCTTTTGAGCTTATTAAAAATAAAAGGCTGACTTTCTTACCAGGAAATCATCCAAGCATTTTTCTCCTACATAGCCTTGAGAAATATGAGCACATCTATGAGCAAAAAATGAAGCAAAATAAAAGTGAAATTTTCTCCAGCTGTTTCTCAAGCTGATGAAGAAACTGACCATAAGAGATAATATTTACTTCACCTAAAAATAGATATGGTATTAACTGTGTTTAACTATAAAGTGCAGACTTGACCAATGGATACATGTGTTATGATCATATCAAACTTGAACCCAATGAAAATCATTAATAATAACAATAATTTTCTTTAAATGCCTAGGGACTGGTGCTTACCCAAGTTAATGATGCTGAAATTACACTGTAAGTAACATGGAAGAAATATCTGACAAATTTACAACACTATTTGGGGTAAATTGATCCTAATGTCTAAAATTTGGGGTAAATCAAGTCATTTTGTGCCAAGTTCAGTCTTTCCTAGCTGGATACATGTAGCTGTAACTTACATGCACATGCACTTCCCACTCAACAGGAAGAAGACATACATGTACCGAGTCAGTTCTGTATTTCAAAAAGCCAACAGCTTTCGGTAACAAAGCGTGCGCATGGGTCAGCAAATGGCTGCACCGATAGGACAGACTATTAGACGCACCCGTGTATTGTAGCTGTTCCTGAGTTACCTTGTACTGGGCATGTGCAATTAGACCTGGCTCACTGTGTTAAAAACCCAGTCCACTTTTTGAATCTCTGACTTTACTGCGGCTTATTGCAGCAGCATGCTCAGGATTTCTCATGGGACGAGGTTTGGACCGGAACGGACCTGATGATACTCAAGTCCCCCCCAAGTCCAAGTCCCCTGGGGACTGAGATGTACGGCTATGTTAAAGCAAGTAGTTGTACATTGCATCTTTACTTATCAGGAAGTCTCAAGAGCTTTGATGTACTTATAAACAAAGGGGCGATTTTGTACTCACTTTCCGCTGTTAATGCCAGAGGTAAACGTCCAGGAGCATGCCTCGTCAGATCGGGTCATCAACAGAGGACCTGACACTGGGACAACTATAAGAACAATTCAAGTTTTCATCAACAACGTACAGAGTGGTAAACATGCAAAGCTAGAGAAAAACTTTTGTGAAGAAACAATTCCATTTTAAATAAATACAGATTGCCATTTGAAGTTATACCAAGCAGTCTGCACTCATCATTTTATTTTCAATAATTTATCACACATCTTACAGGTGATCAACACTTGAACAAAACACACAACAGAAGGTTTACAGGTAACAGACTCCAGTGTAACTAAAGACTCGCTCTCAATCACCTGTGAGAATTTTACCGATGATAGATATTGCTCCATCAACGATAGTCCGCATCCTCGCTACATCAGTCGTGTCCACAACTTTCTCAAGGTCCACTATGCTAGCCGTGATCCTGATCGGTCGGAACAGATCGCCGGCCGAGCGCTTGCCCCTCGCACTGTCGTAGTGGACCATGGTGTTCTTGCCCAATGCCTTTGGCCGAACCTCATCAAAGATGCACTTAGAGCCCCGGGCAGGGCAACTGAAGACTTGGGTCAGGCACTGGACCAATGCCGTCGTCACAAACAAGAAGAGCGCACCTCTAAGCCATGATGTCATGTCTCAGGGCTTGTGAGGCTCTAAGATGGCGCTTTTGTGCCGAAGCCTTCCATATTGCATGTCCTGTACTGCAAAAGAAAAACACATGCACTCAACCCAGATCACTGTCATGATAAAAAATTGTGACGATCACAATAAAGTGCCTGCAAAGTGCGCTGTCACGGAGGACACACTGCAAAGTGTAAATTTTGTGACAATGAAAGTACAAAGCTTTGACCTATGCTTGTCGCACAAGAACAACAAACTTCTCTCTATGGGGGAAAATGATGACACCCTTTACAAGCACTCTTTACGTAGAATTCCTTCCTTTGGAATACAAATGACGATGGTACAGATTTCAATAGATTTTGATGGTAAGCAGAGAAATGATGCATTCCAAACCATGGCTTCAATTACCACTCCCATGGGTCTACATCCTTGAGGGCAGGGGTGGGGGACAGAGAATACGTCCCCAATTTTTGACCAGGTTATGGGCCAACTTTCAACCTGTTCTCATCCCCTCTATGGGACTAAATCTCCGTTCACATCTCTACCCTAGGTAAAATATATCGCCCCTTTTGAACCTATTGACATTTCAAAGTTGCTGACAAAGAATGATGTCCATGTGCATGTGTGGAAATCTTTTTCAAGTCTCCTTTTAACCCCTTCGCTACAGGAAGCGATAAGAGCAGCCGTAAAAATTGAGATTCCTCAGCCCGCTTTTCAGCTATTATTCTAGGCCCACGCTCGAGCGAACACGGTGAAAGAAGGCAGACCCTGGCTCTTGTATATATGGTGATTGGCCTTTGTGTGTGGCCCAGAAATGAAAAGACCGAATTTACATCATAATTACCAGCTTCACAATAGTCCCCACTTTGAAAAGAGGCAACGGGAATGTAGAAGCGTAAGTAGAGCCGCATGCCACCGAACAATGAGCCTTTTCACTGTGTAAATCAAAGCATGCAGAGCAAGCAGGGCCATAAACCGAGGATCTGTGGTTTGGCAGGTGGCCTTCATGGCCAAGCGAGGCTGGAATTCTCGGAGTCAGCTTTCAGAAAAAAGTCCCGGCGTCAAGGGGTTAAACACCAGCGAATGTAAAGTACCATGGCTCATGGAGGTACATGTACATGTTGGCAAACCATGAACATGATGAATACCATGGTTGTAATGCTGGTGTTCATCAGCACAATCTTGCATCTGGCACAAATTTATTCTACTCTATCCTGAGTTGATCTGCTTGACACACTATGCACAAACCCTATGTACATGTATACGGTACGTAGCTATGACGAATACCTCCATATTTTCATTGCTAAATGTGACCTTTTGGGACATATTATTGCTTTCTGATAGTCACTTCAAGGAAAATTAGAGGCATCCATAAATGGAACTCTTCCCAATTTGCCTTTGAATGAAATCCTTTCAAAGGATAATCAACTCAGGCACGTCTGGCATGTCAGGAAGGAGTACAATAAATTTGCTTTTAAAAGCCGAATACAGGCGTAATGTTAGACAGTGGATGGTCATTCAGCTCAGATGGACTCCCTCACCGTATACGTGTACTACGTTACAGAGGGCTGTCATGAAGAATGGCGTCTGACCTGGGCTCAATTGTCATCATGATGGTGTAGACCTAGGCTAGGCTTAATCTAAGATGCCTAACGACTAGTCTTGGACTCCAAGGCATCCTTCTTCTATGCTCCAAGTTGGATTGGAGTAAGCCACTGACTGTAAAGTGTAAGCCCAGGCATGCCAGGTTGGACGCCAGTCATGTAAAGTTTTACATTACAACAGGATTGACGTTAGTTGCAGTGCAATGAAGACGTCGACCCCCAGCACAAAGTGTGGGGTAAACTTGTCCTCCACCGCACTTCTGTCCCACGGACGTCACACAGGTACAGTAGTGGGTAGGCTGGGTGTCTTGTTGGTTAGAGTTAGAGAGCTTGCTCAATGGTCAGATGGTAAGAGTGTCGGTCATACCTCCATCTAGCCCAGGCAGACTCCCTGACTGTACTATGCATTTTGTAATGAAATGAAGACAACGTCCAACCTGGGCTTACCTCCATCATGCATGCGTGTCATGTATGTAACACCCCAACTACAGCATCAGTCCCAACTATAGTTGGGCCCGTCCCAACTAGAATGCTACAGTTGGGCCGGCTCAACTACAGCAGAGAGGTCCTGTGTGCATGATGTGCCCAGCATGTGCCAAAGTCATTTGTTTACAAATGTCATGTCATCGATCATAGGGCTAGCTAGATGAACTGCCACATTTTAGATGAATTGTGCCATCATCAAGTGTGAAACACATTGACTTGGATAATGTTGAGATATTTCCCACAGACATTGGTCAACAATCATGACAATAGTTGGGCCAGCCCATATACACGTACATGTAGTTGGGACTTGGGCCCTATGCTTAAGTTGGGGCGTATAGGACATACCAGTCAAAACATGGCAGAGTAAACAAGTAGGCCTACAGCTAAAGCTTATTAAGCATGGATTGCGAAAGCAAGGAATGACTTTAAAGTAACACCTCAAATAAAATCAAACATTACTAGTGGCCCGTGAGAGGAAACTCAGACAGTGGAACCGACTTACACAACCTTCGCCTCTTCCTCCAAGACATCCAAACCACTCAAGCGTCAAGGCTTCATCGAAAGACACGCCGAACACAATGAAGAGGGCGCTGTTTCACTTCACTCACGCGACGCACGGACAGGCCTATCCCGAGAGGAAATATTGGTTTGTCAGAAAGTCTGAAAAGTTATCCATCAAATTCTCGTCACCATGGGAGTTCCAGCCTTCTTTAGATGGTTGAGTAAAAAGTACCCATCCATAGTCGTACATTGTAATGAGGAAAAGGTAGGCCTAGGTCATTTTACTTCAAAGAGGGATTAAAACCTTGCGGGTTTTGCCGAAACAAGTTGTATCACGTCCATTAGGATACAAAAGACACCTATTTCCGACATCATTCTGAATGAGTTTGTTAATAGATAATACGCCCTAGCCCCGCACGTGAGCCTTATCGCAAATCGCACAATGGTCAGATGGTAGAAAGTCATTATGGGAAGGAAAAAGGTGTAATGTCTGCTCCTTTTTCCTTCCCACAATGACAATGCCTTTCTACCACCCATGCAGTATTTGCGATAAGACTTGTAAGTTGTAGGGCTGTAGTGCTACTAGTGGCTCTCTTTTACAATCTCTTATCTGTCGCCACCACAGCCCTACTTCAAGGCATGTCTTTAATGCCTGAAATCCAAACTGCAGGATTGTCACAAACTTTGAATCCTAATAATCTTCCAAAATGAGAATGACTCGACAATTTTACTTACACTGGCGTATGTATTCCTCAGAGTTTGGACTTTCATATGACATGTACATGTATGAGCACCCTAGGCTAAGGCTTTCCAACATCGTATATTTTCCGATGTAAGGTGCCTTGAAAACCCAGCGTGTGATATTTACATGCTAGCCTACTGAGTGGAGGGTTAGTATTCCTCTTTTTCGATTTTGGATGGGATCGTCATACTAACGCTCCACGCCTGTATATAGAATAAGGTGAAAATGGTTCTCAAAATTTCCAAACTCACCAAAAATACCTCTGTCACCACCGACTGGCTTCCATAAACTTAAACCTTAAACTTCTCGCTGCCTCCTCCCATTCAAATACGGGCATGTAGAGTTTCTGGCCAATAAGTCTATGGACGAACATGGTCCTCTAATGGAACCGCAGGAGAGGCCGATATGTAGTCGGGGCACAAGACGTATTGACCAGGAAACAGTCGCTGGTAGCACTCCCAAATGTCACAATCAACAAGCAGACGAACAGGAAACTGTTGCAATTAAATTTGAATAACATTAATACTGTGCCATGCTCCACGTACGTGCTGCGGGCGTACTTTACACTAGCAAAGTGTGAGTGCAACTTATTACTAAGCAATACTGTGACAACATGAATTATGCATCTACAGCACCTGTCAGGTGCCTTGACTTCCAACACACAAAGCGCTGCCTTCGTTTTTCAAAATACTGCAGGCCGGGTTTTATTAAGGTGCCATACATCGGAAAATATTAAATTGGAAATTTTTGTCAATTGTGCCATAATTTTTCAGTTAAGTTTAAATTTGTTTCATTAAAACCTCCAGGTCTAAGTAAACAGGCAAAAATCGTGTGATTACTGTTGAAGGCACAGTTGATTATACCTCCAGCATGACAAGCTACACAAAACATTTTAAGGTCATTATTGATGATGAAGAAATGAAATAACAGCCATTTCTTGTTTAAGCTTATGTCAAAGACATTTTGTCATTTTTGGACAACTTTTTAAGTAAGTTTCCACAATTTTCATTGAACCTCCAGGGCGTTACACTCGAAATTAAATCAAAAACTGGTAGCCTACAGTTTATTTCACCACCAGGTGGCCACTTTCTTTAACAGGCTAGACCACCAAATGGATGTACATTGTACAGCTTTGAAGTAGAACATATGCTCTTTCTTTGGGTACACTGAGCTTTCATTATTGAGAATTCAATTTGGATTGACATGTACATTTCCTCTGTTGTCGTGCAGAGATTCATGTTTGAACAAGTTGCATTGTATGCGTGGCATCAACGCACGTCTTGTACACATACACAACTGAACACTATGTGCATCTTACTGTTGCCATGGATCAGGGGGTTGAAGGGGTCAATGTTGGTCAACTGTCCCAACTCGTACCATCGACTCAACATACATGTAACTGTACCAACTCGTACCTTTGTCGAGTCGCACCTTCGACGTCGTACTTCCAGTAAAGACAACTCGCAACTTTGCGTATGAGACAACTCATACCTTCACAGAAATCAGAGCTTATAATAACTGTAATTAACTTGAACAATAATTTGATTTCTTAGTCATGTGTTTGTCACCTAATTTGCCATTTTGGCTACACTGCCTTCCCTACGCACGGGTGCAGTGACATTAATGTGAGACACATCGATGTCGTGCGTGGTCAGGCAACTGACGCTGGTCAATGTGGCCAGCCGTCGTTGCATGCAATTTAGAATCTTCACCGTGCAGTCCACCATGATAATGGAGTGATGTCATGTTTTTATTCACTTCAAAGTTTCTAAAGTAATATCAGTTGTAACTTGTCAAAATAAAGAAAAGAGTTTATATAAGGAAGGCAACCATCCCCTAAAAATTAAAACAGAGACCAGAAACATTTCCAAAAGAAATCGAGACATATCAAGTTTTATTAAGTACACCCTCCAAAAAAGTTTCTAAACGAAGCCATTATTCCCCCACAAAATGAAAAGTCCAAGAATGTTTTCCTAGAGCCATAAGAATAAATTGAAGTCCCCCCCCCAAAAAAATGTTAATAAGGAAGTCAAGTTGGTAAACGGTCGGGTTGTTCGACATCCGTCACGTAAACCAACGGCGCAAATGCCTGCAGCAGGCACTATGCAGAAAATTATGCTGGTGCTGGGCTGGCCCAACTGCAGCACTACAGTTGACTAATTCCTGTAGAAAATTTCTTAACTTTATCCAAGTTTATACATCTCACACTTGACACAATTCATCTAAAAATGGCACTTCATGACATGGCATTGTAAGCATATGACTTTGAGTGGGCACATGCATGTATTTTTCTCTCTGTAGGTCTATGTCACTGTAGGGACTAATGACTGGCATCCTACTTGAGAACTCAAAGTGACTACTCTGTGATACTCCTTGTGACTTGGAGCCAAAACAGTTTACATGGTGTTGTAACGCTATCATAGCTATGGGTTTTTGGAGTCGAACTTGAGAGGTGAATGATTCAAAGGTGTAACAAAGCTATTAAATCAAATTTTCCCGTTGGCAAACCTGAGTAATCTATAGCTCTTAAAGGGTTTTACAAGGTTTCAAGGCGTATTTTTTTTTAAAAAATTAGATTTTTGCTCACCAATTTCTTGCTTCCACCTGCTGACGGTCACTCTGTTCATGCCATTTGTGTTTATCAGATTGCGCATGCATTGAGCCCACCAATGACCGTGTTTGTTCTGCATCTTACGTGTAGTTTGACCATTTTTGGTGGTCATGGTGGCGGGGGGGGGGGATTTCCAAGTCTTGCAATCTGTGACAGCTACATGTACTTAGCACAGCATGTGGCGTGTCCTCATGGCGGTCACGTGATGAAAACAAGTAAAGATACCCCCAATACTAACCCCCTCCACCGAAAAGACCTAGCGGCAGCTCTGGAAGCTCATTTGGGACACGGCCGTAGTCTTCCGTGGATTACATCTTAGCAACAGTGCCCTCAGTTGTCCAGGAAAGCATGGCTAATTTTAAGTGTTTAAAAAAGTGAAGTTTTCAGTGCATTTTAAGCAAACAGGAATGTAAAAGAGTTTTCATGTATTGAAGAAGAATACAGAGTAATACAGAAAAATTGTCTAGAAAAATTCATTGCGGCTAGCCGCTAAACTTCAAACACTCAGATGTTAAGTCCGGGTACATAATTTAACCAGAATATTTCAGGGAATTCAAATGATTGTCTCATGGCAAGGTAAAGTTCCGTCTACTGCTGGATGGATTCTTGACAGTTTTGCTGGCCTAATAATGTTTCTAATTTTTTTTGGATATTATAAACTCAGTTCAGGGATTTCTTTCTCCTTCAGGTCATTATGCACATGGAACTTTACTGAATCTGTTACATTTTACCATCATTCAGTACGACTCATCACTGTGGGATATTACCTGGATAACCCCCTCCACTTTTCAGCACATTTAAGGACAGCAACTTGTGCCTCTGAGGTTCCATTTGAAATACATGTACACATATTTTTAATGGTGTCACTTACTTCAGAATGAAGAGGTGAATAGATCAGCCTGGAATTTTTAAAATGGCTGTAGAGTCGACATACAACTTTGACTATTTCAACACTTGCTGAGAAATATCGCAAGAACTCATCAATTCCAACCCTTTTCATGCGATGTTAATGCTCCGTCCTAGTATACGTATAGTTGCATGCACCTATGAACATGCACATGTAGTTGGGGATCTACATGTATTTTACCAGGATAATGAGCCAACAATATTTCCTATTTTTGTTCTTTAAATTCATGTTCAGTTGAAGGTGGTGGATGGTGTACCGGTGCCAGTGGACATCAGCGAACCCAACCTCAATGACATTGAGTTTGACAATCTTTACCTGGACATGAATGGCATCATCCATCCCTGCTGCCACCCAGAAAACAAGTGAGTGGGATGATCATGACCATTTCATTTATCCCTCCCCTATTTGATTTGGTGCACAGTGTACATGTAGTGTCAAGGATGGATCTAGATTCCTCAACCCTAACTCCCTAGGGTGTGTGCAAAATCATATTAAAATTGAAGGATGTTATGCTTAATCTACAGGACAACAATGGAACATACAGGGCTCTGTTCCCCCCATCCAGTTGCATTCCTGCATTTAGTGGACCAAGTTCCACAACACGGTAGAGCGGCTTTGCTCACTAGCAGTCCCAACATGGACCACTTGCACCAGACAGCAATATCTTTCACAGTCTGTGCACTGTTTGTCAAAAGTAATTGAGAAAAGGAACCAGTCAGCTGATGAGCTACGATGGAGAAAGATTTCGTTGTATTTGACCTCCTCTTTAGTGGTGATGACTGCTTTCATAGCTGTTGGTTCAGCTGGTTATGAACGAATGAAAACTGCTCCACTTTCATGCAGATACATGTAGTATAGTATAATGGTATTCAAAGAGACATGATGGAGGAAACGACGTGGACTAGTTTGGGACAACACCCTTGGAAATCCGTGTACACTTTCTCTTTAGTGAGTAGGGGAGGCTCTGGAGTGAACTGAGTGGTGGCAGCATTTTTCACTGTGTGCTAGGCAATGCTAATATCATCTGGGAGAGTTGTACAATTCAAGTTGTAGAATAGGACCTTATGCTGTCTGTTTCTTTCCTTCTGTCTGATAGGCCGGCCCCAAAGAACGAGGACGAGATGATGGTGGCCATCTTCGAGTACATCGACAGACTGATGCGCATCATCCGGCCGCGACGGCTGCTGTACATGGCCATCGATGGCGTGGCACCCAGGGCAAAGATGAACCAGCAGAGATCCCGTCGCTTCAGGGCCTCCAAGGAATCCAGGTCAGACAGAAGTGGTGGAAATACACCTGACCTGCAATCTCTTTCTTGGATCAGGAAATTTCTCAAATTGGCCTAGTTTTTGGGGAGAAAAATTGGGATGCCTATATGCAATACACCTCTCCTTGAACCACATGATGTGGCAGGGACTTACAATTGAGAACACCCCAAACAGTGATGGAAATAACAAAATAAAATTGATTAGCAAATTTGCTAATCATATTGTCATTTGATTAGCATTTTGATGAAATTGACTAGCAAAAAATAAATAGGCCTAATTCAGTACCATTATACCATGGTATACAGTTTACATATCGACTGATGTGTACACCAAGGCAAAACATTGAAACAACCCACAGGTATGGTATAGCATGGTGGTTGGTTATGGCTCTGGCCAAAACTTGGGTGGAGAAACTAATTTTTACACAAGGAGAGAATAAACAAAAACCTGCTATCAGCGAGTCCCTATTCATGATTTTTTAGGGTGCCATTTTAGCTCCTGAAATGTTCTACATTTGACCTATAACGGTTGGTGACTTACACATAAGTCAAATACTTAACAAGAAAAGGGAAATGGGATACATCACTGCATATTGCACAGATCAGAAGTCACTGCCAGAGTTGGTGCTTTCATTGAGATCTGACGAATGTTCTGCAGACTTTCGAACGGCTTTGATTTTGGCCTCTTGCAAGCTACATGACTCACAGTAAAGGCCATATCTTCCAACTGATTCTTTTGTTTCAGCCATGGCATATCTCTCTGCTCTGCCGGTTTTCAACGGTGCATTTGGACGGTGCTTTCGGCATTTTTGTTGCGCATTGATCACCAGGAAATGACAGAAGTTAACACGTGCTTATGCACAATACGTACGTGCGAAGTTGGTATCGTGCTTGGGATGTATGTACCAACGTGTACTTCATGGTGCCACTTATCCCACGTTTAATGTATATTTTTGCCTGATGTGTGCACTCGTACCGTATTGTACTGAACTACACGTGCTATATAATCCCACCAAATCACAGCAACCTCGTTTCCCCCCATGATCCTTGGGCCTCGCGCTGCGCAAAACTAGGACAAGAAACTGGGCGCGAGTTAGTTTTGTCAAACAATTCATTTTTGCTTTGAAGCCGCTAGCGCTCCGCACAAGGCCAGTTTCCGATCCGATCCATGCCGTGAGCTCGCTGCGTGCACGGTGACCAGCGGGAGCGGGTTGTATGGCCATTGTTTTGCATGATTTTACGAGAAATTTTCATTCGCAAAAATAGCACATCAATATCATGTTTGGCTCACTTTCCATGCAAAATGTGTCCCATTTTGCAGTGTGAATCCAGCTATTTCCATCACAGCTAAAATACATTTACTTCAAGTATTAAGGTTGCATTCTTCCCATAAAATTACTTTCAGTGGTTGCAAACAGTGGGTTTCTATTTTTATACGTACATGTACGTTTGCAAAGGTTATGAGTGTTGCCGGCATCGCCCTCAACAGATCAAATGCTAAATATTGAATTTGGGCAAGTTTTGATGTTGTCATTACCCATATAACTGTATTGAGTACTTGCAAAGTGCCTAGCTCTGTGAACTCCTAGTAGCTACTCTCTGAGTTCATCGTCATGTTTACAAAGTGGCTGTATTGAGTACTTGCAAAGTGCCTAGCTCTGTGAACTCCTAGTAGCTACTCTCTGAGTTCATCGTCATGTTTACAAAGTGGCTGTATTGAGTACTTGCAAAGTGCCTAGCTCTGTGAACTCCTAGTAGCTACTCTCTGAGTTCATCATCATGTTTACAAAGTGGCAAACTGCATTTTGTGAATACCATGTACATTATGCCTTTGTATTTATCAGGGTTGTAGCTAGGAGGTTTTCAGTGCCGGCTATTTTTGTACAGAATGCTGGTTGCAATGTACATGTATGCACTCTCGAGCCGACCATGTACGTGTAAGTACATGTACACTACTGTTCACTGCTGTTCATAAAAAGTTTAGCCTGGCCATTGCATCGGTAAAAAAAGAAAAACTGAAAAATCAGCGCTTGCAAAAGGAAGAAAAACGAACATCTGGCCAGTCAATGACTAAAAGGTGAGATTTCACAATCCAGATTGGAATTTGTGCTGGTTGGCAAGTTTCATTTTTCATCCTGAGTGGTGGCTAGCACCGGCCAGCACCAGCCAGCATAGCTACAACCTTGGTACCAGTATAACTTACATGCCAACATTCTTGTATGCGGTTTGCTGCTTCATT